ATCTATCTATCTATCTATCTATCTATCTATCTATCTATCTATCTATCTATCTATCCATCTATCTATCTATCTATCTATCTATCTCTCTCTATCTATCTATCTATCTATCTATCTATCTATCCATCTATCTATCTATCTATCTATCTATCTCTCTCTATCTATCTATCTATCTATCTATCTATCTATCCATCTATCTATCTATCTCTATCTATCTATCTATCTATCTATCTATCTATGGGTGGTTGTGGGTGCTCTGGTGTGTTTGCTTTTTTTTTTTCCTATCAAACATATGTCGTCCTTATCTCCCCTCCTCCTTTATTACGTTTGTTACTCTCTTGTAACACCTCTAATCTTCGGCACTTATAATATGACCTCAACGTGTTGCAAGTGCCGTAATACTTTTATTATTAAACTATCTCTCTCTCTCTCTCTCTCTCTCTCTCTCTCTCTCTCTCTCTCTCTCTCTCTCTCTCTCTCTCTCTCTCTCTCTCAAACACTCACTCAGACATCAAAACACACTCGCAAACGAAGACACCTTTTTTTTAAATTCTCAATACGCGTGTCTGTGCGCGCGCAAGCGAATGCATTATCATGTGAATGTTGTTTTGTATCTCTCTTGAAAGATATTATGTACCTACTTCTTTCGCCCTCTCCTTCTCTTTCACACTGGAGTTTGTTTCCCCTGTAGTCCCGATGAGCCTATCTGCCTTGCTGGCTGAAATAAAAACGCATTTGGGATGTCGACCCTCTGAATTATTCTTCCCCCTTTTGGACAAATCGTGTTGAAACATAGTTAACAAAACTCCCAGGGGAGCTAAATGTTCTATGCTTCGAAACGGTTTTCAATGAGCGTTGAGAGAGTTATCGATTGCTGGCAATTCCCTCAACATGGCTCCGCTCGGGAAAAATAAATAAGGGTGAGTCTGTCACTTTTAACTGACAAAAAAATGTTTTCGAAGGAGTTGCTGGTTTCCAACCAAACAAAAAGCTCTTTTTCAGAGCATAGTCGCTGATAAAAGCAGTCTGGAAAACACTTGTCCAGGTTTGGGGACACTTCAATATACATAAAGGCCTTGAACACTCAGCTCTCAATATTGAAGGCAAACGAGACAGGAACCTACTTGGAGAGCCTAAACAGATAGGTGACCAGGAAAGATCAGCCTAATGTAGTTGGGTTTTTTTAGAGCATTCGAGAAAAGGAATGAACGGGAAAACCATGATCTGTGATGTCTGTCGCTGATCTGGGACTTGATGATGAGTCGTTTAAATCATGTATATCTGTCATACTTCCTAGTTCGTGAGTGAACAGGCTTATATTATATTATACACCAGTTTTGAGTCCTTAATTCTTCTTTTCTTTTCAGCCGACATCAACATTACGTGTATTTAGATCATAATATAGAAGGCTCTGCCTGTCAAGGTCAACTCGGGCTGAGAGGGATATACTGCAAAAAGACCGAGATTACTCGATAGAAATGTTCTCCCCACTCGGGAATCGAACTCGGGACATGGGGATTCTCATGGCCCAGAGGTTAAGGTGTTCACCTCTCATTCAAAGGTCCCGGGTTCGAATCGGGGTAGCGAGGGAAAAAAATGTCTTCTCTAAAATTGTCTCCGTTCACCTCCTTTCCTGTTCTCTAGCAATGTTCTGTCGTCTGCTTTCGTCTCCACTTTCTGCCCCCACACCCCCACCTCCTTTGCCCCCTCCTCTGGGCTCTTGACTCTTTCTGCAGCCTTTCTACTGCTACTCCTTGGCTCCATCTTCCTACTGTCTTTCATCAACACCCCTGATCTTCTGGCAGGAAAGATATATAGCCTACCTAGCCTTCTCGGACAAGGGCGAAAAATCTCGGAGGTTCCGTGTGCAAGTTGCGCACATTAAAAATCCCTTGGAGGTCTGAAATCGATAAGAGTAGCCTTCAGCCAAAACCCGGGAATACTTCAAAATCTCCTACTTACTGAAAACGTTTAATGTGTCCCGCGCGCTCATATGACCTTGTGCAGTTGCGAGCACCGTAAAACACTTATTACCACCACACACAAAAAAGAACTCTGGTCTCCTGCGTGCGACAGTGCCCTTGCACTAAAGGCGACGGTCTCGAGTTCAACTTGTCGTTGTGCTGTCATGATGACTTGATAAAACAAATGACGACTAAGAACAGGGTCATGGATGATTTAGGTTCAAATCCTTAGTTATTGGCGAGTCTCTTCTGGCCACCCTTTCCCAGATATGAACGAATGTGTCTTTTTATTTTCCTTCTTTGTGTGTACATATTCTTCAACCATCAGCGTTTTCTTTGTGCTGCATGAGAACGAATTGCCTTCAAAATTAAGTGTGTGTGTGTGTGTGGGGGGGGGGGGGGGGGGGGGGGGGGCTACTCCCCCAAAGTCAAAATTCCGCCCAAAATTATGGAATTTGAGTTGTAGGCATGTTTAGCTTCCTATGCCTCTCCTACAACTATTTCATCGCATAAGAACCCCAAAAACCGTATTTTTTCCCATACCGAGCATGCTTGTCACCCCCATTTCCTCATAAAGTCAGTATTTTATTTTTCTTTATCGGTCGTTTTCTCAAAACTCGACTTTTCTCTATACTTTTTTGAATAACTTCACCATTTTTCATCCAATCTTCATGAAATTTTCACAGAATGAAGAGAAGATGTAATACTAAAGATTCGTCTGCTGAATTTTAAATATATGGAATAGATTTTTGTTGGTGGTGTCTGGAGTGTGGATTTTCACGGATTTTTTGCAAACTTGAATGCTACCTCAGGAAAAAATTCATTAAAAATGTTCTAATTCGTTTAGGAAAAAAACAACAAATAAGTTTTTAGATCTAATGTTTGTGAACACGCATGCAAAAAAAAACAATCAATTTCCATGAGCGATAAGTGCGGTATTCATTGTGTAAGACATGTCAACAAAATCCAATATGGCCGCCGTATCCATGGAAACGAAACTTTTTCTTAAATTTGATTGCGGATTTTAAGACTCCTTACTATGCTCGTTATATGTGTGAAATTTGGTAAAATTCGGTCCCTTAAAGAATAACCAAATCAAATACATCAATATTTTAGTATTGGAGTCGGAAAAGGCAGTTCTACCCGAACTTTGCTTTCATTTGTTCTCTTCTGTTTTGTTTCCGTATTGCTCTTTTTGTGCTCTGAGTCGAAAAGTTTTTGGTTGGGTTTTTTTTGGGGGGGAGGGAGGTGTTTTTGTGTTGTTTTTTGTATAACTATACATTAATCCTCATAACATCTACATGGTGGCCCTCTCATTACTTCTTTATCATTTGTCATGTGAGCGAGAAAAAAGGAGATCATAGCGCTCAACCCACTCAGTGCCAAACGAACTTAATAATCTCACCACACAGCCTGCTGATATAGAGTGGCCAGGCAGTGAAGGGGCAGTTATTAATTCGGATGTTGAAACACCTTTGTGACGCCATACTTTATTCGTGGCACTGCCAATGGTTCAGAACATAGAAAGGACGAGCAGAGACTGGGCCTCAATATTTTGAGGAGGGGGGCGATAGTGAAATACCGCAATGGAACCCGTAAAATTGTTAAAGTATAAAGGTATAGATTGCTACACATCATTTGGGGGGGGGGGGGGGGGGGTCTATTCTCGGATTGGATCCCTTGGCTTGAAATAGTAAGGGGAAGCGATCGAATTTTCTTTCGTCAAACTAAAATAATCACAGTTGTTTCTCTTGGTACATCTCGTGCCCTACTAAGAGCCTCTCCTCGTCTTCGTAGTATTATTATACTTGCCTGCCAGTCTGGTTTTCTGTTGGGGTGGCTGCACGTCAGTTTATTCGAACATTCACTTACTTGTATATTGAGTGTCTGTGGGTGAATGTTCCTCTGGTTAACATTCCCATTTTTTCCACTCCCACAGGGCCAGCAACGGAAAAAGAACAAAAGCAAACACAAGAAGGCAGAAGGCCAAACTCAAACTGGACAGCGCGGCAACAACAGCTGTCGTCATGATGGACGGGTGAGTAACTAGAACTCTCTCACTTGTTCTTATTTCCTCTTTTGTTGCTGGTGGGTTTGTTTTTTAGTGGGATTTTTTTTACTGCCCTACAAGATCCAGTCGACTACGGATGAGCTGATGTTGTCGGGGGAGTGAAAAAATGATCAACTCATCCGAAGTTCCAACTTAAAGGTTTGTACCTGTACGCCTAAAGAAGAAGAGGTGCCGGGGCCCGAGAAAAAGATCAACTTGACAGGAGATCGACTCAAGCGAGTTCAACGCAAGAGGAGTCGACTGTACATTTCGCTGCCTCGGAATTACAAAATTCGGACATTTTTGGCTTTTTATGAATTATTAATACCAACAAACCAATTTTTTATGTTCTATCTCCTCAAGTAAAACCGTTACAATATTCGGAGTCGTAATCAAGATATTCAAAGAATTGCTTTCGAAAAAGTTTGGCATCATGTGAAGCTCAAAATATTTGACTTCAGATTTCTCAAAACTAGATCTGGGTACTGAGCAAGTAGAGCTTTTTAGTATTCTGCGGAGGCGACTTGCTCGTGGAAGAAGAACGCCACTGATTGATCCTACTTCTATTTTCTTCCTCCGCATTTTTTCCATCGTCCTTTTCCCTGCACTACAACTAAAAGACTTTGAGTTCGATGTGCTTCTATGTTACAAATAAAACTATACAGAAATAAATAATGTGTTTGTGTGTGTGTGAGAGAGATAGAGAGAGAGG